CATGAAAGTAGATTTGGAAGAAGAAAACTTTGCATTGTGTGTATTGCTTGCTAGGGAGGCCATCTGGTCTTACGATGCATAATTTGAGGAAATGGCGGAAAATCATTGTCAATTGGGGCCAATGTCTTTACGAGAAAGTGAATCCCTTAACCATCTCCTGCTTCGGTGTGTGGAGGCTAAGGCTATGGAATCTCTCCTAGGCATCTAGTGGCTTGATTGAGGATGAATTATGGGCTTAGGATGGTATTAGGATGTGTAAGAACGGGAGAAACCTTGTTTCCCTCAGTCCATTGGCTGTTATTTGTGTTATTTGACAGAAAGGAACAAGAGGGTCTATGATGGCTTATGTGTCCTTTTACTAGCATTAGATATGACTGGTTCCAGGCCATGGACTTTTATTTACTGATCAACCTCTTATAATTCAAAAGGAGCTAGGGAACCTTATAGATATTTTGGTTTCTTGTCACAATCTATAAAGCTTCTTTTGCTTATGGCTGACAGCCTTTTGGTGCTGTGTTAATACTATTTCTCTCTGTCCTGTAGAAGAAAAAAATGTAGTCATTGACCCCAAAAACTTAAGCAGATAGAAAATGACAAAACCTATTATTTATCAATTCACATGCGCCACATGCAAGTTCACTGAGTTGGATGGGTGGATAAAAGCATAGCCTACCTATCTTTAGCTGAAATTTAGTAAGAAATTGAGCAGTAATTAGGATTTGAATTCAAGATCTCTAGTTCTGATACTATATCAAATAATTGATTGTAGCCAATCATTCCAAAAGTTGAAGCTGATAGAAAATGCCAAATTTATTATTTATATTATACATTTAACATATATGAATATTGTGGAGACTATAGAAAATGCTTGAGATTATTTCATCATGGATATGTATTCTCCAAATGAATGGATCCAGATCTACTTATTTGGTGCTACAGTTGTCAACTTCTGTCTGCTCCAAGACATAGATTCCTAGGACTTTATTTGACTTGATTTATCTGTTCCCTTTCTTTCTTTCTCTCGTTTTCAGTAATCTAAAGTTTTTAAATGGATATCTTTTGAAGATATCTTCACGGACGTTGCATATACCATGGGATGAAGCTGGGTGTCTATGCCCAGTGGGAGACTTATTCAATTATGCTGCACCAGGAGGGGAGTCAAATGGCTTTGAAAATATAGAGAGTAGCATGCATACATCTTCATTTGAGGTGTGCTCGTTGCCTAATGGGGATACTTTTGATAACGTGGTTCCAGATCATTTGGAAGCTTGCTATCAGAGACTAACAGATGGTGGATTTGAGGAAGACCTTGCTGCATATTGTTTCTATGCAAAAAGGAATTATAGAAAAGGAGAACAGGTATTTCAAGTCTCTTTGACTTTACTCAAGTGTGGATGCAAAACCTTCATCTTTGGTTCACTTTATCCATTGTTGTCTAAATTTGATTTGTTGGCATCCAAAAACCAGAAAATCCTGAAGTGACTTATCAAAATTCTAAATATTGTGTTTCATCATGTACAAAATGATATTGTTATGATTTAACCACCTCTTCTTCACTATGTTTATTTTTAGCTGGACCTAGGCAGAAACTGATCACATCTGCTCGTTTATTGCTGAGGATTCGAGCATATTTTCTGTCATTTTACAATAAATTGTTAGTTTTAGAGAAAATCTGCATACATTTGATATTTTAACATAAACGCATAGAAATTCATGACTAAACAAATTAAATTAGGGGTTAAGAAAAGATAATGACTTCAAAAACTAACAATTTTTGAAAAATGGAAAAAAAAAAAAAATCAAGTCACAAGGTGCTGAACTATCACAAAAAATTCAGAGACTTTGAACTATGATAGGGCCAGACTGTAGGGAATGAAATTGTAATTTACTGAATTTCATTTGTCACTGTTGTGTCCCAGTTGATCAGTTGAACTAATTGCTAAGAAAGAATAAAGTATTAGATTGTTGGCATGTCTGTTGTATTGTCATGTGTAATTGTTTTTGTGCATTGGTTTCATGTTTCCTTTACTGCCATTGTTTGTTATTTTGGTGTTCTGTCAGGATAGTTTACTGTTATATGTCAGTTATAGCAGACTTATGTGTTGTGTGGTTCTTTTGCCACTTGTCGAGTTGGCAGTTTACTAGGTTTAATAATACTAAACTAACAGTCAGTTTATAGATTCTAGGAGCATTTAGTTTTATTTATAGAAATAAAATCCTTCTGAAAGGGAATCAGAGAAGAAAAAAATGGAAATCTTGTATACTTTTTTTCTCTCTCCTGACTTTTTAGAAGTTTCTCTCAAGTAGGCTTGCCGTTTCTTCACTCCAGCAAGACCTCTCCGGTCTTCTCCTCTCCTTTTCGTGCCAGTTTCTCCAGTTAGAACATTCCTGATCACTGAGAGGAAGTCTTTCAACATTTCTCGTTTGTGACCAGTTAAATATTGCATCTAATAAAAAAATTATCTCTCTAAAAACTCTCTCTCCTCTCTCTAGCTCTTCTGTGTTTCTTTGGATGTCGGCCGACCATCCATCGATACCGTTCTAATGACCTCTTTTGGACGAAGGTATTTGGTTATCGAAAATAAATCTTATGATTTGGTATGCGAAGGGAAAAGATTGGAAAACCTACGGATAACTGAAAATGGGCGTGGTTTCTGACGTCCAATTGTTCTCAACAAAGAGGAGTACTGCTGGTTCTTAGATGCGCTTCAAGATTTCTGGTGGAAATGGAAGTCGGGGAAATGGGCAAAACACTTGCTGCAGAGAAGTTATGAGCTCTGGTTGTCGTATGGAAGCAACAGAAGGGTGAATACTTGGCGCTTACACTACAGGGAGGTGGTCAAGTGGAGAGCATCTCTTTCCCTGGTGGTATGGAAGGAAAAGAATGGTGGAAACTAAGGGTGGCTGTGTTTGAGCTCGCTGATAGACCATTGAAGAACTCCAACACGATGGCAGATGACAGTAAAGTTGAACCAGTAAAACCGCATGTTAATGCCAATATTTCAAAACAAGCATGGAACGTTCCTTTAAATGTCCTCATTGCAAGGAGTCGATTGATGTGTCGATGGAAGTAGGGGGTCCAAAAACTTGGCATAGCTGGGAGCATACGAGGGGAGGCCGAAGCGGGTAGGGCAGAGGAAACCCGAGACAGATGCAAGTCGGGTTGTCCCAAAGAAACCAACTTGGGCATCTAATAGTGTTAAACAAAACGCGAAGGTCCCCGTCGTTTTGGACAAATGGGGTATGGTGTTGCAAGGTCCACAACTGAAGCTGAACGGGCTTGGAAGAGGAGGTTTACGTGGAAAGAAAAAGAGAAGTGGATTGCCAGACTTGATATTATCAGAGGCGCAAATTTAAACCCAAGCCCACAAAAGGTAAGAGTTTTGACCTGGGCTGAGCATTCGGGCGCAAAAGACCCCGAGTCACCCGAGGACGTAAAGAATGAGGTGTTGAGCAAAAATAGAAACAGAAATGGAGATGTTAGGGTTCATCGAAGGGTCAACTCTGGTGAAGGATACAAGTAATGGAGTGGATGTTTCGCCTAGACACCAGCAAAAGGGATGATGATGATGTGTTTCTGTTTTCTCCACCATGAAGGACTTCGAAGGTGAAGGAAGGGAGGCTGATAAACGAGTTCCAGATGGATGAGACGGAGGCAAAACATCTCTGAGATGGTTCTGGTGGAAGAAGATGCCCATACGATTGCAACTGTTCATGACTTGGAATTGGAGGAGATTATTGAGCTGAGTCTGAAAGGTGTCACCATCTCTAAGACTGAGATGGATTGTTGCTCACAGTGGGTCGCCAACAACATTCAGAACTTTGGGAAGATGATGGAGGTGTCGCTAGGAGGTATGAAGAACTTATCTTATCTTTTTTTTCTCTGAAATTGAAAAAAGAAAGATGTTGAAGAAAAACACAGGAACCAGACTGAAAGAAAAGAAAAAACCAGGTGAAGGGACGTCAAGGGAGCTTAAAAGATTGCAATCGTCGATAAACTATGATGGAGAAGAATCG